AATAATCATCCAGGTGTGAATGCCTTTTCCAAGATGGCGAACCATGATTATGATTAATTATATTTTAAACATTGTATTCTTTAGCTAGTCTCTTAGGAATTTTCAAAAATTAGAAGAGCGTGTAATAATAGTATTCCAAGTACACCACCACCGCCATATCCATTGTTGACGACGCGTTTTGCTCAATCCAGAGCTCATCAGGCCGGCTGAGATACAACAAACACAGTATTTGTAGAAACACTACTTATATAAGCCATTTAGTACAACAACAGTTTTTATGGTGTGAATGAATTTTTCAAGCTGGCGAAGCATGATTATAATCCATTAAAAATGCAAAATATTATAGGCTTAATACTAATGTTTTTGTGGCAAGTATAATTAATTATAAATTTCCAATCGTTTGTTTGCTTGTCTGTTTTTGAATTTCGCGCAAAGCTACCCTAGAACTATCTGCGCTAGCCGTCCCTAATTTAGCAGTGAAAGACTAGAGGGAAGGCATCTAGTCATCACCACCCACCCAATCGCCAACTCTAGGGCTACTGTTTTACCAAAAAATAGTGAGATTGACCGTTACTTTATAACGCCCCCACGGTTGAAAGGGTGAGCTTTTTTGGTAGGAACCCCAGTGGCATAGCGGTACGTCTGCGGACTTACAACGCTAGAAACCGGGTTTCGATACCCGCGGCGAGCAGAGCACAGATAGCCCTCGTGTAACTTTGTGCATAATTAAAAAAAAAAATTGGTAGGATGGGAATTCGAACCCGCGACTCTCAGGTTGCGAGTCACGCGCCCTAACCACCTGGCCGTGCCGGGCCTATTTCTAAACGATTGACTCTGTTAGATTTATGATAACTTCCTGTTATGTACAGCAAAAGTTCGGAAGTTATAATTTTATGGAAAAATGGGTTGAGGAACGACGTAATGCTCATCATATATAGGCAAGTGGAAAAGTAAGTTATTAAAATTAAATCTATTTTGTTTTCAAATTACAAAAGACCTATCTATCTGTATGTCTCTCTGTTTGTCTGTCCGTCTATGTCCACCTGTCTGTCTATCTATCTATGTATCTGTCTGTCTATCTATCTCTACCTGTCTGTCTGTCTCTATCTACTATCTGTCTAACTGTCTGTCTTTTTGTTTGTCTAAATACTGTTGGCAATTTAAAACAATGTGTTTCCTAATTTTCTATATGAGTGTAATATTACTACTTTGTAAACAGGTTTGAAATTGGAATAACTTTTACATAACATACAAACAACAAGGGATCAAGACTGTCCATGAACGGTGCCATATGCATACCATGCCGAGATCCCTTCACGGTTCACGTGCAGCTAACTCTAATTTTTAACTATTGACCGAGGGGGCCAGAGCTTTTATTATCCTACAATCTACATTTAAGTTTGTTGGAAATACTCTGGGTCCCACTGCTGACAAGAAAAACCAGAGATTTTACTAATTATAATAACTTATGACTGAACGCAAAGAAGAATATTTAATAATATATAATCCACACTACATATGTCACATCCAGTGCCGACGAGGCCTTTCGTTCAACGACTGCTGTGGTGAGAACAAGATTAATTGAATGAATCGTAATTATTATGATCTTAGAGCTTACATCTACATTCGTTAGATATTTCTTACGTTTGTAACTTTTGTATATTGTGCTAATATTTACATAAAGACACGTAAGTGTTAACGAACTTAACACTACTTAAGGAAATAACAGCTTGGATCAAGTAAGAGACAACAACTTATACGAGCACACAAAAAAAATATATTTAAATAAAAAAATTGTTTTACTAATTACAGGGAATCTTCTTTTCGTACAAAAAATACACATGTTTTCAAAACCATCCAAAAGTTATTCGGATAGGAGAGTTAAGAGATGATTAGCGAAGATAGTTTTTGATTGGATAAAACAAGTTTCTGCATCATATGTGCCAGCACAAAAAAAAAAAAAAAAATACCATTAATTTGAAGCGAGGTAGACATTAAAAGCCACATGCTTTACGTCACGATATATATATATCTACTGTGTATTCCAGGGATGGTGAAGGGGGGAATTTAATTTGTTACTCCACGAGTACCGTGCTTTTATCTCGACCGTGTTTTGATGACAGTCCTGACTGCAGTTACTCTACGCAGAAGCTACAAGACGCAAGAATTAACTCATTTGCCACCAGAGGGCTGACGGTAATTATATTATTCGAGAAGCACGGTCATCTGTCTTCTGTCATTACCGACGTAGACGTCATCTGGGTTGTGCGGATATCTAAAATTTGTGTTATTCTACCGGCCAGTCACTAAGAAATGTACAGAATTCTCATTCTTTGAGCGTCATTCGATAAAACTGATCTTGTTGTCATGTTTCTCTTTCTGTGTATAAATAAATATATATTAACCGTATTCATGTAACGTGCACGTGCAGTACAAGCGAAGTGAACGTGGACATGAAATAAAAATGTCCGTTTAAAGTTAGAAATTGATTAACGGAGGAGGCTAGTGTCTCGTATAAACTTAGTAAAACCTGTAAATAATAACGTTATTCATACAATTTAGAACCAAATTTAGTCTCTGCGGATGGATTATTCAACACCGAACTTCAGATGAATTTTCCAGGGAAACGATTCAAAATAAAGCAAAACTTTACTAGCGAAACGATTCAAGATGAAACAGAACTTTTCCTCAGAGCAAGCCTTCAGACTTACTGCTGAGCCGTTGGAGGGCGGTCAAATAAATAATTCAATTGCAATCATATTACTTAGAATATTCTTTTTTAATAAAAAAATAATAATATCGTTTTTTATCAAATGGCCTAATTAAATAGAATTCAGTTATTACTTGAAGGCTTAATCAAACATACCGATCTATAGCATATCCATAAAGTCAGACATTATTTTAATAAAAAAAATTCACAATTATTCATTATCATAAAGTTGACATAGTCAATCCATGATGAACCAAATATGAACTGTTACCTTCTAGTGGAGCTAACGCTAGAATCCGGGTTTCGATACCCGTAGTGGGCAGAGCACAGATAGCCCATTGTGTAGCTTTGTGTTTAATTACAGACAAACAAATCTGGTGGAGCTCTGATGAAGTATCCGTTCACTTGTGGCATGCTAAGAAGCTACTTGCCCTCTGCTGAAGATATTATTAACTATAAGAAAAGCAATACGTAATATTAATGATATTGTAGCTTATAAACACAACCTAAAGATTTGAACCGTTTACTTTGCTATAAACACAATAATAAAAATTGACAAGAAGGTATTACTAAGTGTAAGAACTTAATATGTAAACTGTTATATGTATAGGAAGCGATTTAGAAATTTTGGTTAATGCTACATTTTAATTAATGGTAAATGCCTTCTTACCCACTAGATAGCACTAGCTGCAAGACACACACACTTACGCTCGTATAAAGTGAGCTCCATATAATATATACAGCTAGTCCCATCTAGTGGGTACGAAAGCATTTCCCATTGAAATATAACGTTAATCAAAAATTCCAGATCCTTTCTTCTGAGATGTAAGAATTTGTTCTTTAAATTTTACCAAGCTCATACGTGTAGACTTATGAATTCTGTACCTTATCAAATATTAATAATTAACAAATATGTTTTCAAGTTACTCAAATCAGTTAAGAAGATCGTCGAACCAAATGTTTTGCACAAAGTATTAATGATAAAATAAAATATCGCTTAGAAACGAAAAAAAGAGAATCCTCTATACCCTCGACACTTGAAATTCTTTTAGGCAGGATTAGAGTAAGCTAATCTATCAGACCTCGGACATGGTCAAATACACCAATCGAAAGGGCTTGATCCCTTGAGTCTTAAACTACCTTTGGATCTCAAATCGACCAAGAAATGACTAACCTAAGAGATAAAAGTTCCGCATAAAAAACTCTGACCCATTCTATGAACCCCGATGCCGCGGCTAATTAGTGAACAGTTTCTGCAATTAAAAATGTTTTTTATAAAATAATTTTTAAAAAGCATATATTTTTATGCAATAAATCGCGGCTTTACAAAAATATTAATTTTAAACTTAATTAAGATACTATTTTTCATAACTCATTAATTTATTAACGAATAATTAAGTCGTTCATTAAAACAACTGCGTAAATTGTCTACTTGTTTTAAAAATTACTGGTTATCGTATGCGCTTGAAACTAATTACATATATATATATATATATTAAATTAAATTAAATGACTAGTATACGAAATAAGATACAAAATCTTTACAAGTATGGTGATAGTAAATGCTATGAGAGACTACACACTTTGTATGTTATATTTGTTTTAATGAATTTATGTATATTTTGCTTGAATATATATGGGATATTATTCGTATAAACGAAAAACACACGTACATAAATAAAATCAATTATCGTTCATATAATTTTTAACTTGCCATAACATTTAATCATTGGTCCCGTATATATTTCGACAGACAGCAATATTTACGTAAGTTTCACGTTTAGGTTAGGCAGAACTCTGGGTTAAAGTTTGGGTAGTGGGATTTTTTATATTTTAAAGTATTTTTTTATTAATGGATTTTTTATAAAATTTGAAAATTACTATAAAAACTTGACTGATTTTAAATACTAGTAGATAGCCATTGGATTAATAAAATTACATTGTTTGTTTGTTGGAATTTCGCGCAAGACTTCGCGAGGACTATCTGTGCTAACCATCCCTAATTTAGAAGATTTGGGCTAAAGGGTTGACCACTACTTTATAACGCCCACACGCATGAAAGGGTGAGCATGTTTGGTGATGAGATTCGAACTCGCAACCCACAGATTGTGAGTCGCATTCCCCAACCACCAGACCATACCAGGTCGAAAACTATTATTTTAGAATTAGAAATTAATGCTCAGTTTCTGTACAAACCAGCAGCAGCGCCACCTCTATATATTTTCTTTGTCGTAGTAAGTTATCACCACGGTACAAGTTAACTTAAGCTGTTAGTGTTACAATTTACAGTTACAAGCTACAGCGTTGATGTAGGCCTATTTTTTTTAGCTTTACTTAAAATTAAACATTGTATGATTTTGAAGTGTTATTTTATTTGTTTTCATACTTTATAACAACATTGTTTTTATATATTTATTGATATTATATTTTTACTTTTAGTCTTGCTCAGATTCGAACCTTAGACCTTTCTTATATTGGCAAGTGTACCGCTACCATATTTTTTTCTTGTATATCAGGACAGTTCTCTACTAACTTAGCTAAAACGTTAACTCTCTAGCACTTTAGTACAGCAGTTGTTAATAATTGTAGTATCTAGTTGTACTTATTGCCCATACCATAGTTATATACATACACAAAAAGTTTAATAGATGTCAGAGTCAGATCAAAATACACGTGTATAAGTAAATACCTCTAGAAATATGTTCATTTTAAAGTAATATGACCACTGATGATAATAATAATAATAATAATATTGTAAGAAAAGCATATACAAACATTACTAGAAACTAGACGGAACTTTAACAAAAGTGAGAATATGGGACAAAAAATAGTTGAAAAAATGTTCTAAAAGATTTCTAGAAACTACAGTGTGACTGACAAAATAAAAAGAAATGATTGGATCTAGAAAAAGTACTAGTAAAATCTATAAAAAAAATGTAATTATCATCTAGCTCACAAAACATTATTAAAGCTAGACAAAAATTGGAATAATTATATTGTTTTTACCGGAGTACGTTCATAACTGCTGTCGATGCAAAGTTTTATGTTATTTCAGTGATGGCATTACATGTATATATGTATCAGTGCTACTTATATTAGCAAAATGATGTTGGACATGTCTTGCAATAAAAAGTTTATAGGCATATAATTGTATTTGTGAGTGATAAAAAAAAGGGTCATTTGACCTATATAAGGTATTTCATTTTGTACTACCATCTTGCTATGAATTACATAAAACAAAACCGCTTTTGGTTATATGCATCTTTAATCACTAATTTGCTCATCTGATCTCTAAAGCTCCTTCATTGTTGGTGCTTCTACCCAACTTTAAGACCAATTATTCCATAGGCTAACTACTATATTAGAATAGTAATGCTGTCTTAACTGGAGTTGTATCCGAGTTCTCCATATCGTAAAGCTGTGTCTTGTCCTAGCATCTGAAACTCTTTAAAAATGTCATCTGGATTTATGAACTCAGAATCTCTTAAAATTTCTCCCAGATCGTTTCTTTCCATCAGAAATAAGGCCAAGAGATTTTAATTTATCCTCGGTCATTAACCCTTCCAAGTCTAGTGTTATCATGGTAGCTCTGCTCCGACCTTTCTACAATGATTTAACATCCTTAGCCCATAAGATTTTAATTTATCCTCGGTCATTAACCCTTCCAAGTCTAGTGTTATCATGGTAGCTCTACTCTGACCTTTCTACAATGATTCAACATCCTTAGCCCAAGAGATTTTAATTTATCCTCGGTCATTAACCCTTCCAAGTCTAGTGTTATCATGGTAGTTCTACTCTGACCTTTCTACAATGATTCAACATCCTTATATCTATGTATACAACCTATGTTTGCCTCGTAACTTGCTAATGCACTTTATATAGAAGACTTTTAGATACCTTGTAATAGTTATGTTTTTTTTCTTGATAATTTTACCATGAACTTCTCCAATTTATAAGATTACCAAAAATTCTTTATTCATTGAAATAGAGTTGTTTAAACATTCGTTTAACAACAAATAAAAGCTTGGAATGGTCTATTCTTTCATTGGGTGTGTGTGTCTGTGAGCCAGACTAGTTTTGGAGAATTCCACTCCTCATCAGTGACCCTGGACACTACCACCAATGAAATATCAGATCAAACCAAGCCTTTATAGTAGTGAGGTATCGAAAATCGAACTGGTGTATTTAAGTGTTTTACACTCACACTTAAATACACCTGTTTTTTTATTCATTGTATGATAAAATGTTTTGTTTTTCTGTTGAAATGAACAGCACTGGAGAATAAATGATTGTAGAACAGACTGCACAAACAAATTATTTCCATATTTTATTATTTCCTAAATCTACATATTGTTACCATAAACCAAAATTCAGTTAAGAGTGGTACATTAGCTTATGGTTGTTAAATGTATCAAATCAAGATCTTTGTTGTTGTGGGTTGGTTAAAAACATGCTTTGAACTAGAAATCAAATTTCTTGCATATAACCTTTTTATAATTATGAAAATGTTTGTTCTGCATTTTAATTTAATTTTGCATTTAGTGAAGTAACTTAATACAGTGTTTTCCAGATGCTTTGTTTTCAAAAGCAGAATAAAATAATTATAATTTATTAATATGCCTTTTGCTTACATTAGTGGTCTATGAATCTTCAAGCTATTTCATACGACTTAATATGGGTGTCTTTTTTTTTTTTCTATCCACTTGCGTACTGAAACAAAAAAGTAGTAATTCTTGTAGTTCCTCAAACCAAACCACCCCAAGCTAGAATTGGACTGTTTATTCTTGTAGTTTCTCAAGCCAAACCTCCCCAAGCTACAATTGGACTGTTTATTCTTGTAGTTCCTCAAACCAAACCTCCCCAAGCTAGAATTGGACTGTTTATTCTT